TCAATACAATTTGTATCATATAGGAGGTAGGCTGTTAGGAGAGTGAAAAAGAAAAAGTTATGTGTCCCACCCCCAAGGACAGCCTAGGTGGGGGGGAACGCTAGAATAGGTGAAAAAAGCAAGGTGGGGAAAAAACACTGATAAATTAAATAAAACTCTAACAAATAGACATTGTTATTCATATTCTCTAATAGACCTATTGAAATATCATTGTACCTACTCATTCACATTTTCATACCATTTCCTTACCATTCCTTTTCCACTACCTTACCTCTACCTTACCATTCCCTTACCTCTACCTTACAATTCCCTTACCTCTACCTTACCATTCCCTTTCCACTACCTTACCATTCCCTTACCACTACCTTACCTCTATCTTACCATTCCCTTACCTCTACCTTACCATTCCCTTTCCACTACCTTACCATTCCCTTACCACTACCTAACCATTCCCTTAGCATTACCTTAAATCCTACCACATCGACGGCAGGCTGTGTAGACTGTACCAGCCTCGGATCCAGCAAGTCCCGTAGTGTTTCCCCCGTGCTCAGCACCGTCGTTTGTTTACCTCTGGCGCCTTGGCAACGCCACACGTGGCTGATGAGCAGAGAGAAGTCCTGGAAGGACTTGCGGGCACAGTGGGGACAGTGGTAGTGTTTGTCCTCCCAGGGAGGACAGGCCAGCTTACAAACAGACAGCTCCACACCTGTTTGGTAGAGTACAGAGAAGCACATCAATTTTTCAGAGTGAGTCTATGTGTGTGTGTGGGGGAGGGGGGTGTCATTAGTATTTTCACACCCAATCAACACAATTTAGATCATTTAGGAGGACGGCTTCCATCCTTGCCTGTCACGGCTAACCTGTTTGTCGGAGAAAAGAGAAGAACTTTAATATATTCATTTTGTTTTCCTCTTTGGTAGGTATTTGTACACACCTGTCGACACAATTTAGATCATTTAGGAGGGCTTCCAACCCTGCCTGTCAGAGATAAACTGGGCTGAGAGGGAAACAACATCCCTGCAGAAAGAACGAGATACTCTAAATAAATTTATTCCCTACTTGGGAATTGAACTCTGGTCTCCTGCGTGCAGCAGCAAAGCACCTAGCCACTACACCACAGATGCTACTCAAATAAGGGTTGTAACAGTCATTTATTGCAGGGGAAAAGTAAGACAGGTGAACAACTCAACACCTATTCATTTGAATTTGAGTAAAGTAGAGCAGATCAACATTACACCAGTCATTTAGCGCAAAGAAATTGTAAGACAAGAAAAAAGTAAGACAGTTGTTTTTTTATTTTTTATTAAGCTTTAGTACGAGTTTTACGGCACTTGAAAACACAGTTTATGTGATACAGGTGCCAAAGATAAGAGATGTTCATAGAGAAAAGAAGGAGGATGGATCAGGGGGACAGATGCTCGATGGAAAAAAAAGGGGTAAACCAAACCAGAGCATGTGTCAACCACCCACACAGTAAGGCAAACAAAAAAGAAACAAACAGAGGGAAAGAAAAGATGACCATCCAGTAACACCCTCTGACCACTTCTCATTCGGACACACATGATGATATTACATGCGCAACACACATCACTCACCTCCACAAACGTTACACACAACACACATCACTCACCTCCACAAATGTTACACACAACACACATCACTCACCTCCACTAATGTTACACACAACACAAATCACTCACCTCCACAAATGTTACACACAACACACATCACTCACCTCCACAAACGTTACACACAACACACATCACTCACCTCCACAAATGTTACACACAACACACATCACTCACCTCCACAAATGTTACACACAACACACATCACTCACCTCCACTAATGTTACACACAACACAAATCACTGACCTCCACAAAGAAAATTATCCGGCTGCTTGTGGTCTGGCGCCTTCACAGCACCTGGAGCGTAGCCCTGCAGGAGTTGAAATAAGAAAAGCCGTACAAATTATCTGTATATCACGGAACAAAAATAAACAGAATAATCCACGTAATAGATTTTGCATTTATTACAACCAAATTGCGGCATCATAACAAAATTTACTCAAATTCTTGGCCTTTATATAAACAACTTTTTGTTGTACAATTTGACATTTGACTTTAAGTAAGAGGACCAAATTCTGAACACTAATGCAACCAAAAATAATTATGACTAGAACCAAACTAAGGGACATGTTTAGGAAAGAAAATATTATGTCTGTATAAAGAAAGTACAGACAATTCTAGCTTTAATTTAAGAATTTTACATCCCTTGCAACACAAATAAATATTAGAACTGCACAAGATTAGAGGTGTTTCTAGAGTGAAACATATTTATATATAAAGAAAATGAAGGCAAATATTTGAGAGAAAAGAAGGAGTAAACCCCACCATAGCTAGCACCTGCTAACAAATAGAGACAAAAAAGCATTCTACATATTGACGCACAAGTTTCTTTGCGTGAGAAGCCAGATGGCGTGAGAAGGCGACTCGCTTCAGCAGCTCGGCCGCACACAGAGGGCAGTGGTAGTGGCCAGCTGAATGACTGCATCTCTTGAAACACTTGACAATCATCAGATCTGGTTAAAATACAAAATGTAAGTAAATCTTTTTCCTGGACACAGCACAAAATGCAACGCTTTCATATGTTTACAATTCAAAATATACGCCTCTTTCCTTGACAGAGTGCACAATGTAAGCCTTTCTTCTGTTCCAACACAAAATGTAAGCCTTTCTCTTTCAACTTAACCATCAAAGTAAATTTTACTTTTTATTACACCATTTGCCATGAAGCAAAATCATGACATGAGAAAATGAGACAATATTTGAAAGTAGAAATTTTGTGCCATCTTAACCTTTTCTACAGCCCAAGGTATTATTTCTTTATTTTACTTTTATTGTAAAAAGCAGTAGATTTGTGTCATCATCACATCCAGGATCAACAGTGATTGGGGAAAAGAAACTTAACACAGAAACTTTCAGGCTTTTTCAGCAAAACTGAAAATAGGTCACTGAAATGTCAGTCATAAAAGTATGGAAAAGTTTGCAAATATAAAAGAAAATGAAGTGTCAGAGTATTATTAGAGACAACATAAAAGTTTCTGAAAAAGAAAACAGTGAAATATTTTTTTCACAGCTGAATGAGTTTGAAGCAAAAGAACAAATTCACATACATCTTATGTTGCAAAGAGAAGATTTCAACGGTTTTATCCTCTAACCCTTTAAATGAAACAAAAACTCTTTTTGGGTTCTAAAATCACTGCAATGGTCAATCTACGGGTCCGCAAAAAAAAAATCAGGAGCCAGCATACATTTTTTTTGGGTTAAAAGTAAAGTCGAAAGTGGCCGAGACCACCACATTGAAATCAGAAGCATGGGGTATTTCATTTTTTTGCCACTTGAAAAGTTTTCAAGAAACCAGTTACATAGAGCAAAAATTCACCATTATGAATGTCATGTTTACCTTGAAAATACACTGCATGTTGAAAATGTGACTTATTGAGGTGGTCTCGCACCCTGGCTGGGAGAGAGGGTTTGAAATGTTGAACATCACAGAACGGGCAATGTACTCTGGAGTTGCAGCACTTTGGGACACGACATCTCTCCAAAACAATGTCCTCTCCATGCAGGAAAGTGTTGGTGGAAGTCGCAGAGGGGTTCAAATATCGAAACCTATTGCCCTGGACTGGAAGGCCCTCTGTTCCTGAGTCCAGGGTGGAGGTTTTGGCAATGCAGAGACTGCTCACCTCTTTTTGGCACTCTCCCATGCTCTCCATGCTTCAAGATCATTTGCCATCAACTCATTTTACCAAAGAGGCCATCAACTCTGAAAGAAGCAGCAATAACACATATCATTCTTAAAGAGCTTTTCAAAAATATTTTCCTTTTAAAAATAGATTGAAAATCCAATGACAAATGATCTTCAGTACACTTAAGCACAAATCTGTCACTACCACCCCATATATATATACACAATGCAGCAAATTCAACTAAATTCAACTTTAACTTCAAAATCAACGCGTTTTTGCTTTCGCAAAGTTGAGAGTCAAATACGTATATATTGTGCCAATCAAAATGGTACCTTTTTTTCCCGTCCAATATGGAAAAATTCTAGCTTGCCCCGATTCAAACTAATTAATCCAATTTGTAGTGTGCACTGAGTATAAAGCCTGCAAGTGTTCAGTCTGAGTTTAGATTGGGCTACCTTTATTCTCACCCATGTTTCACTTTTCTCCTCATTCCCCCCC